TTAATAGTTTTAAGGATCCACCAAGTTAGCCTTGGGACTCGATAATTCACCTAAATCAATAATGTTTTAGTTCATCTTACATTAACACTACTTATCTTACATTAATTGACCTGCATTTATTTACTTTAACTCTGAAACTATTTGAAAACTGAAAATTACAAAAATGTTTTCAAAATTAAAGTAACATCCTTTTCAAAAAAAAAAAAACATAATTCGTCCTTTTGAATTTATGAGAGCCCCTCGGATGAGGTAATATACGGTTGCTAACGAGATCTCCTTAGTTTAAATGAGCTTAACAACTTGGTCATAATAAGTAAATTCAAAAGAAAATAGTGGTACCAGAACGACGGAACCGTGAGATCCTAACTAGTGTCACTCTAACCAACTTTAACTTTCTTTTAATAAGACATTTGAACAACAACAAAATTTGTCACTTAAACTATAAAACCTTTTGAACCTTGAACCTAGATCTATCACTTCAATGAGGAGCTTGGAGCATACTCCATGGGCAGCACGACGAGAATGTACAAAAGAACAACTTCGAGAGAGCAAGTGGATCTACAACATAAATCTTCCCTAGAATTAAATAACAAGCCACAGGATTTTAAGGTAGCCTGTCTAATACGACATAAATCCTCAACTTATCTTTAGGCATTTGCACAATCATTTTGTGCAATTTAAGCCCTAACTTGCTTTAGGATAAGAGGTCGTTGTTCGTTAAAATATAAATCTTCTTATCTTCCAGGCTATTTGTATAATTATATAATTCAAATGTAAGCCCTAAATAAGAAATTGGGCAGGATGAAACATTTAATAATATTTTCTTGAAATTAAAGCTAAATCATAGGATAGCTTGGGAAGCCACTACGGTTCTCCCTTTGGATTCCATAATAACTGTTCCAAATTTGATATTTTCCCATTTGATACTCCTTTGTCCAACGTTGAAATTCCTAAACTTTGAAATTCTTGAAGACAAGACTTTCTGATCAAAATCAAGTGTTTTCTTAGGCAATTTTGATTGTCTAAGATGTAATTAACTATAGGGGTTTGCCCTTATAAGAAACTTTAAAACCCAGCTTAATATAAACCCTGTCGAATCTCTTATATTAGATAGAAAAAAATTGCCAATCAACATAAAGAATTTCACAAACTAAAATGAATGTCATGAATTCTTTAGTTTATTTAATCGAGTCTCATTAGCAAGTAATGTGTATATTCCTTGAGATTAATGCATCCCTTATGATGTTGTGCTCGTTTATTTAAACTATGACATATATGAGATCACTTTCATGTTGTGCTTGTTTAATTAAACTATTGTGTATATGAGATCGGTTTAGCTTTGTACTTTCAAAAATTAAAATATTACTTTTTAAATATATATATATATATATATATATATATTAAATTAAAATGTATCTTCCTACATTTGACAACCAAAAGTAAGTATTTTTCATTAATCTCTCTCCTTGTGATGACATTTAATCATTTGTGGGATTAAAATGGTTTGAATATTTCTTTTATTCCAAAAATTGTAATGTTTTTCTCCAGTTCTTAATTTAATTTGCAAATTGATCATTTGTAATAGTAAAATCTGTTGTAAAACATAATGATCCGTGAGGGCTATGATTTCTCCAACTAGTGAGTACCAAACTAACCTTATGAGGTGGGTGACCACAATCTAAGGAGAGTGTAAATAGATAAGGAGATAAGTTTTAGTAGGCATAAATTGGTGATTTTAGAGTGAAATGCTAGAACCTCTAATTTGATCTAGAAGTTGGGAACCTAAGGCTAGATGTTACCTTTAGACGAAGGGATAATGGAAACTCTAGAGTGAGAGCTATTAACTTCCCAACCTAACCAAGGATTTAGGAACTTATTACTGGACTAGCCAATTTTCTTTACGCACTTGTAAGAGGGTAAAAATTTGGTATGCTTCTATTTGTCACAATAGATCATTTGAAAATTTAAATCATTGGATTCTTACACTAATTATGATATCATTGCATAGGGAAAGGGATTTTTATTATATAAGAACTTTATAAAATTTAACCATTCTCTTTAGATTAGATTTTTATTTAATTTAGTTATCCTTAATTTTATAGTAAATTAGTAAATTTAAGAAAACCTTTCTTTTTAAAAATTCTTAACTAAGACTTTAGTGTGGTAGACTAAAACTTATCCTAAGGTATTTCTTACCTCGCTTCTCTGTGGGATCAATATTGGGGTTTTAAATAAAGCTCTATATTACTTGAAACGATATGCATATTTGCGTAATACCCCTGGTGTGTAAACTATTAATTAAAAATTATAAATTTTTTAACATATTGATTTTGTACACTAGTTGCTAAATATAAATTGGGTCAAGTTTTGGCCATCTTTTGGAAGTTAAATTGCTGCGTAATTGCATGTCGGGTTAAGGGGCACTTGAGTTTAAGCTTGCCACTGACAATGGTGGGGTGGTGGAGCTTGGGTGGTCATCTTCGGACTATGGGAAGTCAATGGTGGGGTTTTGTGAAGCAAACTGTGTTAAAGGATGTGTAAGTGGGTTCAATTAAAATGGAATGGCTCTTGGGCTACTTTTGGGTCAACCATGGGTTTGAGTGATGCTAATTGGCTTGGCTCACTCTCCATAGTGGCTAGGGCTGATGATCAGCATGTACAAGTCCCAATCATTGGGTTTAAGGATATGCACAAGTTTAAGCCATGAGTTTGAGTGATGCTAATAGGCTTGGCTCACTCTCCATAGTGGCTAGGGCTGATGATCAGCATGTATAAGTCCCAATCATCGGGTTTAAGGATATGCACAAGTTTAAGTGAGTCATGAGAGTGGTTAAGTGTTTTTTGGCAAGTGTGGAAAATGGGTCCTCCTTTAGCCATAAATGGCATGGTGGCTGAAACAAGGCTCATGCATGGCTCATTGGATTCCCTATACCTTGAATGAAGCCACATGGCTCTCTTAAGGCTCAGGCATGGCCTACATGGCTTGTATCAGAGAAGGAGGGGAGGAGTTCCAAGCTTTAAAAATCTTTTCCCGGTTTCCACTTATGTTGATTAAGCATGAAATCTTTGGACTTTAAGCTTGATTAAATTGATCATGAGGATGTTGATTTTTTTTCATGTGGGGTTTGTTGTTTTAAATAAATTTGAAAGTTGGGCTTAGTTTGGAGGGCATTGGAAATGTTTTATGTGGAATTGATTTTGGGTTTGGATGTGGACTTTGAATCTGAGTTTAATGTTGTTAAAATTAATCATGTTGAACTTCATGAGGCCTTGAATCCATCATGATGAAATGTAGGACTTAGGCTTAGTGAAATTTGGGTTTGGTGTGAGGGTTCAATTTTGGTGAAATTTGAACTTGGGGTGGAATTTGATGTGGGGTTGATGTAACTCTGAATTTAGGGTCTATGGAAATTTGATTTGAATTAGAAAATTAGGGAGTTTTGGAAGTTGTGAATTTCATGAATTTTAAGGTAAATTAGGAATTTAAGATGACTTTGGGGTTATTGGAGTGGAAATTGGGTATTTTAGGACTTTTGGATTTGGGTTTTAAATTGGGTGAATTGGGATTTGCTTTTGGATTTTTGGTGAATTTGAGGTGGAATTTGAGGCTTGAATTGACTTTGATGGATTTTGGGGTGGATTTGGTGGCATGAATTGACTTATGGTGGAATTGGAGTGGATTTGGGAAATTTTGGGAATTACGGGTAAATCTAGGAAATTTGGAGAGGTTTTGGGTAATTTGGTGGAGAATTGGGTGTTAGACATTTTTAGGTACTTATTGGGGCTTGGTGCATGGTGGTGTATGTGATATGACGGTGATAGAGTCTGAGGTGTGAGGAGTGTGAGTGTGGTGTATGTGAAGTGGGATACAAAATAATGTGGCATTTAGTGTGTGTGTGGTGTAGTGAACGTGGTGATGTGAATGTAAACGTAGTGTGAGATGAGTGTCCAAATCAGATGAGTGTCCAAATCATAAAGGGCTTCCCTAAGGCCTTGTGATCCTATAGGAACTCATTTTTGAGTCTCCATGTGCTGGTCTCAGCCAACTCAACCATGTGTTGAGGGTTTGACACCACCCATGTGAGACTTCACAAAAGAGTCGGGAGGTTGTTTGATATTATAAGTGGGGTGGGTCCCATCACTAGTCTTCTAGGATAATCAATAAGAAAGTCCTATGACTAGATTTTAAGCTCTAAGAGAAGAGTTTAGACCTAACCAAAAATGGGGTCAATAGGTGATAGTTTGTTTTCTTGTTCACAACACGATCCACTCTCACCTTTTAGGATGTTGGATCCAAATCTGTCTGGTAGATCATGCCCAAGGAATGAAGCGTTGGTCGAGGGAAGTCCTCTTCTCTCTCTTCTCTCTCATTTCTCCCCTTCTCTCGATCACCTCTCCTCGATCTAACACTCTATTTCTTGGACACAATCTACCAAATTGATTTGGATCCAACAATGATAGTTTTGAGTTATGAAATATTTTGGTTGTCTACATGTGGCAATTAAAGATTTGGTGTTACACAATTGAATACATAGGAATTGAGTGGTGTGTATGTAAATTCTCCGAGAATCTATCATTACCATTAAAAAAAACAAAAACGGAGATTGTAATTTACCTATCTTTGAAGAGAACTTTTTCTCTGAAATGGTGTTTTCTAATTATAATAAAAAAATAAGAACGTTGCATTTTTTATTTTTTTTAATGAGTGATATTTTTTCTTTTTGTTGGCAATATATTTTTTTATTATTTAGAAATTTCATTTTTAAAATTATCATAAAGAGGATTAAACACATGAGCAGCTTAATTTTCTTAAGGAAAATTTTCTCTTAAATGGCATTTTTTACTTTTGTTAGAATTTTTAAGTTTTGATATTTTTTAATTAATATGAGATATTTAATGGCATAACACCCAAAATTTTAATATTTACCAAAATAACACTTCCTTTATAGATTTACGTACATACAGGCAAAACCAATTTCCGTCAAATAAAATATCGCGCTCTCTTTCCTCGGACGCAGGATAGCCACGCCGTTCTCTCAAAAAAAAACCTCCGTAAAGAATTTCGCTTCTTCTACGTTTTTATACACCCGGCGAGGTTTATTTTTTGCTCTTCTCCTCCGGTGCGTCCGTTGTCGACCGACGCTGCTTGCGACTCAATATTTTTTGGTTTTTCTAGGTTCACTCTTCGCCCTTCTTCTCCTTCCTCCACGGCATAGCACATGGAGCAACCAGCGGCTGGAAAGACTAAGCATAAGGAAGGAAAGTTGAGTAATCAACGGGCAAGTAACAGGGAAAGTGAAATTGACTTTAGAGGTAAGTAATTAATATTTACAAATGTCGTATTTAAGCTAATTTTCTTAGAAGAAAGAGACAAGTTTTATCTGTAGATTTTTGTAGAGAAAAAAGAGATGGAAAATTGTATCTTTTTGCTTTCTATTCCCTTAAAGTAGCTATGTTCCAGACTTTTTGCACTTTCTTGATCACTTCGATTTTTTTGCTTCATGAATTTCATACAACTAAAGATTTCCTTTAAAGTTTGTCTGCACGGTATCTTAATGACTGTTCGCATCTTAGATATGTTTAGGATTGGTTGCAAAGCCTTATTTCATTTGGAATCCATTCTTGACACCGTTTTTCTTTCAAATCCTGTGAATTGGATTTGAAAGCTGATAGTTAGAAAGAAAAGATAAAGCGTAATTTTTAAACAATTAAAATTGAACGCAAAATTACAAGCTGTGTTACCTTTTAGAAAATGAAAAATCTTAAATCTTTTATGTATCATAATGTCAGCAAAATGGAGGCCAAAAACTATCTAATCCGTCTAGTAAGTAAAAATATTCATGAAGCTTCTTTTAGTAAAATTAACACTCAGGTATGGAGAGAAGAAAGTTCAAATGCCCAATTATCATGCGAGGAAATACCCAGCAGATTGAGTCAAAAAGAAGGTTTTTGAAATTCACCATATACCTGGCCGTGAGTTCATTATCTTAGAAGGTTTCAATCATATAGTTTATAGATGGATAAAGATTTTTCCAAATCTTTAATGCATCGTGTCGCTATGGCTTTGCTTTTAAAAACATTAAAATTTTTATGGATTCCACACAGCTTTTAATTTGTAAGAAGTTTAAACATGTTTATTTTCTATTTTCTAAAACATTTTAAGTGAAATTTTCTTTTGGGTGCAGAAGATGAATTTAAGTCAATCTTCAAGCTCGAGACTGAGTAGAAATTATTTTGATTGTAATTTATCATGTGTGGTATTCACTAGCTATAAAAGTGAGTCATGGAAGAAAATTTTATGATGTCCGAGAAATTGCTCAAGAGATGACTGTAAATACTGTACATGGGTTACTGAAATGGATGATGAATCGTTTGATCGAGATGATTTTGAAAGAGAATCAACGGGGGGGGGGGGGTGGGGATGAAGAAAAAAAATGAGGATTTAGTTTCTTATGAAAGTTATAATTACATTTTTTATTTGTTGTCATTGATATGCTTTTGTTATTACTTGAGTTTTTTTTGTTTAGATGAGTTAATGTATTAAGAAGTATGAACGATGCAAACCAAAGTGCATCAGAGATGTGCTTTATGTTTTTGTTTAGAGATGTATTTTTTTGTTTACCTGTATGACATAAAATTTAAACTCATTAACGCAGTATATGTTAAAGTTGTTGTTGATGGTTCTACTGCTAACACTGTCAATCTTTCACCATTAACAATTGGGCGACATTTTGCTTTGATATACCTACATTTGATTGGTATGTTTGAAAATACCCTAATTGGGCGGTATTCTTGTAAATACCGCAATTCTAATTTCTTCAGGTGTTGCGAGATAAAAAGAACATACCACTCAATTCTAATATACTTATGTATCTAACACATAAATTTTCATATTTACGAACATATTCACTGTAGACATTGATGAGCATCGACCGAGATAGTAATCCGTTGCCTAATCTCAACTTACCTTGTGATGCTTCCGTTTAAAAAAAAAAAAAAAAATTTTAAAATTGCAAATAAACTTTTGCATACAACACTGACCATATTGGAAGAAGTTTCCAAGATTGTCGGGACAAGCCATCTTAAGAGGCATATTGCTCTCGAATCTTGTCTTAAAATTAAGTCGCAAGAGATCAATTTATATTGAAACTTCTATATGTTCATTAAAATCATTGCCAAAAGTTCACAGTTAGCTTTGCATTAGCCATATTGGAAGAATTAAAGGACCTGATAAGAAAATCTAGGCTGATGGATTTCTTGGAGCTTTCTTGGAGCGACTTGGTTCCTCAACGCTTTCATTCTTAAGTTTTCTTCGTTTTTCGGAAGTTTGGGCTGGATTTTCTCTATCCAGCTTTAAACCATGGCTTCGGGTGCTCCATCGTTCAGAGATGTGGTCACAGGTAAACCTTATGGCGTGGGAGAAGTTTGTTTCTCTGAAGATTTTCATGGCCAACTTACTGAGAACCCTAATGGGGGTTTGCTTCAAAAAGCTTCCCGTAAGAATGGTAAACCTGCACTTCCTTTTTCTGAAGAAGATACATAAATCCTGAATGAGCCTTTAAAGTATACTTTAATCGGTAAATTTGTTTTTGCTCATCCTAAATTGGAGGTTATTCGAAAGTTCTTTTCTTATTTGCATCTTATGGGGGGATGGAATCTGGGTTTGATAGATAATCAAAATCTGATGATAAAATTGCAATTAGAAGAGGACTATACCTCTCTTTTTGCAAAAAAGATTTTGACCATTGAGAAGTGTTATCTGAAGCTTCTTAAATGGACCCCTGGTTTTATTCCTATAGAAGAGACTCCTATTGTGCCTGTCTGGATACGATTTCCGGGGTTGAAATTTCATTTTTTTAATCCGAAAGTTCTTTATTCTTTGGGATCAATTTATGGTAAACTGGTAAAGGTAAACCATTGAAAATGGATTTGGCTACGAGTAATTTGTCCAGGCCTTCGATGGCTAGAATATTGGTTGAGCGCGATGTTACTTCTGCTTTTCATGATTCTATTTGGATGGGGAATTCAAATGATGGGTATTGGTAGAAAGCTGAGTGTCCTACATTACTGCACGAAATGCAAAATGTTTGGACATCTCATTTCTCATTGTTACAATGCTCATCCTGAATTACGGAAATATAAAAACAGTAGTGATAAAAATCAAAATGATTTGAATGTGGAAACTAAATCCCCTGAGATTAACCAACTTCATAAGGCAGATACCGTTGTTTCCTTACAGTCTTTAAATATTAATGAATTCTCTATATCATATGTGAATAACAATGTTGATATGGGATCTTTGAACAATGCTATTGTTCCCAAATTAGTAGATAATTCCTTGATTCTTGCAAATGATATTCCTCCTTCTGCTACTACTTCGAAAACTATTGTTGATACTGGAATTTTGGTTCTTAATGGGATGGGGAATGATAATTGCATTAGTTCTCATTCCCATTCTGGGAAATTGCAAGTTGATAAACAATTGATTTTGCACGTTAGTCCTTTTACAAATGAAGGTCCTGCTCTTACTCATTTGGAATTAGAAGAGGATTGGATGATCCAAAGATTATCCATAAAAAGGAAATTTAAAGGATATAGTGAACTGAGTTACGTTAATCCTAAAGCCTTACATGCTCATTTACAGGGAAAAGAAGTCGATAGGCCTGAAAAGACTATTGTTAGTAGATCTAACAGGGGAAAGATTGTTATTGATGAAGTTTAACACTTTATTTTGGAATATTAGAGACATTGCGAAATCTAATGCTTCTAATTGATTTCATAATCTTATTCGTACCTATAATTTAAACTTTATGAGCATTCTGGAGCCTATGGTTGCTGTGGGGAATAATGTTGTTTATATGAAAAGATTTGGTGCTTTCAAATCTTTTGCAAATATTAATAACAAAATTTAGTTTTTCTAGAAAGGTTTTTTAAAGATTGACATTCTTATCAATCACTCTCAGATCTTGCATATTCGTAGCCATTATGCTCAATATTCTTTTCTTTTGTCTATTATTTATGCGGCTTGCATTAGACAAGCACGTTATGAACTATGGAATTTGATTAAATCTTTAAATCCTTATAATGAGGATTGGCTTATGGGAGGTGATTTCAATATTATTTCTTGTGCTATTGAGGAGAAAGGAGGAAACAATCCTAATTTTAAGTTGATAGATGATTTCAATGCTACTCTTATGGATGCAGAGCTCTATGATTTGGGTTTTAATGGAAGCCCATTTACTTGGCATAGAGGGAAAGTTTTCGAAAGGCTTGACAGATATGTTGCTAATACTAGTTGGATCAATAAATTTTCTCTTTATACGGTTACTCATTTAGTTATTGATGCTTCTGATCATGCTCCTATTCTTTAAAAATAAAGAACAGTTCTTATATTAATCATTATGAATTCCATTTTTATAACATGTGGATGCATCATGTTAGTTTCAAACAGTTTCTGAAAGATAATTGGAAGGTGGAGGTGTTTGGCTCTGCGGGGCATTAGCTTTGGTCTTTACATAAAAATCTGGCCAAAGCTCTTAGGAAATGGAATTGGGAAGTTTTTGGGCACCTTCAAAGAAATAAAGAGGCTCTTGAAGATAAGGTTAAAGGTTTGGAAACTGATTATGCTAATAATATTATTGATTGGAATGTTTTATTTCAGGGACAGAAACAGTTGACAGAAGTTATTAATATGGAGGAAAGTTTTTACGCTCAAAAAGCTGCTAAGGATAATTTCTTGAATGGTGACAGGAATACTGCCTTTTTCCAGGCTTGTATTAAAAGCCGTCATAATGCTAATCTGATTTCTAGAATTGTCAATGCTGATGGTACTGTTCTTCATAATTTGGCTGAAATTGCTAATAATGGAGTTCAATATTTTTCTAATGCTTTCAGTAGCAATGGTGATACTCTTTATCCTATTGACCGTAATCTTTATAATGATGGTATTAGGATTAATAATTTCGTGCTGACTTGTATTCCTAGGTGTTTAGAAATGAAAGAGATTATTGACCATATGGAGACTGGCAAAGCTGCTGGTCCTAATGGTTTCTCTGCTGAGTTCTATAAATACAATTGTGAAATTATTCTTAAGAAAATTGTGGATACTATTCAAGACTTTTTTCGTTGTAAAGATCTACCAAAATATTTTAAATCCTCTAATATTGTGTTGATTACTAAGGTGTGTAATGCTACTACTTGGGATGCTTTTCGACCTATCAGTTTGAATATGGTTCTATCCAAGATTATATCGAAAATTATGATATTCTTAATGATATTATTAGCCTGAATCAGCCTGCTTTTATCAAAGGGAG